CTACCTTCCTGCTCCTCTGTGTTCCATTTCCTCCCCTCTTTTCCTGGAAACTCTGCGATTCTGTTTCTTGGATTCCTTTTTCATCTTGCTGGAGCACCTCCTTGAGTAACTTTCAGACTCAGTGGGTAGAGGCTCCTCTTTTAGACACATCAAAAATGTAGCTGCTGTTTGCTCTGCAGCAGTGTGGCTCCCCTCTGCCGGGGAGCACCGCAGAGTCTTGGGGTGAGAATATTTTGCTGGACACACCTTCCTGTCTGGTACTAGGTCAGGGAGCTGGTGGGCCGGCCAGGCCCTTGAGCACTTCATCTAGGTGGAAGTGTCTTCTGGTTCCCACCATCGCCCGTGGCCACCTTCGCTGTGGAGAAGGGCTCGCTTGTGCTCCATTTGGCCTCTCTGTTGGACCTCGACGCTGACCAGGAGCCCCCCCAAGGCTGCCCGCCCCTTCAGAGAGCAGGCTCAGGTTCAGCTGGGACGGAGCGGGGAGCACAGCCGCCCCAGAGACCGGGCTTAGAGTTCTCTAGGGGATTACCCCGCTGTTGGCTCCGTGCCTGGTCTGCCCTTCCTTGCTGGAGCTCGCGGCTCCTCTGGGCTCCTTTGCTGAGAGCCAGGTGTCCCCTGGCGCGTGGGGCTGCCGGTTCTCTGCTTGATTCCCCACCCTCCTGTCCACCTGCTTTCCATCTTCCTGGAATCTCCCCGAATGTCTACACTGCTGACTGCCTTTCCTGCTTTCCAGCACTGGTGTCAGGGCTGTTACACACACACACACACACACACGTGCACATATCTTCTGTCATTTCAGGGGGATGCTGGGTGGAGGGGTCCAAGCCTGTGGGCGCAGGCTGCCCCTTGAGCACAGCCCCACAATCAGGTGGCATTTTCTAGCCAGAACTCCCTGTTAGGGGTCCTCCCATCAGAGGGTTCCCACATCCTCGCTCGGCAGCGTTGCCTGGGAAGGGCACGCGTTATTTAGGCCGCTTGCTGTGCGGCACTCCTCTGTGCATGGGAAGTGACTTGGGGCGCTCTCTAGCTCAGGGAAAATGAGGGCCCCGCTGGGGCTGTGGGGACCTCCTGGGCTGAGGACGCTTGTTGGCACAGAGTTCACCTGAAGGTGCTGCTTGTGTCCCGGGTAGTCAGAACCCTTTTTGCTGGGGAAACAGTGGAAATTGCTAAGGAAAACTCCAGATTCCACATGCTTTCTAGAAGTGAGCTGAGGGCTCTGTCGGCCACGACAGGGCCAGTTGGTACTAGGATCCCGTATTTTAGAAGTGAGCGGGTAATGACACATTTGTCCATTGGTGTAACTACGTCTATTGATGCCTGACAGGTGCAGACCCACAGGGCAGAGAAGCCAGCTCACTGGGGAGGAGGCCACTCTTGATTTGGGGTCCTGAAAGAGGAAGCCGGCTTCTGGCAGGCAATACAGGGAAGGGTGTTTTAGCTGAAGGAGCAGCATGAGGGGAGGCCCAGAGGCAAGCAGGCAGTCCTCTGAGCCTTCGGACACCACAGTCAGTGGATAGGTGGATAGCACAGTGTCTGACACACAGCGTGGGTGCATGCTTGCCTGTGTGTGTATGCTTGCCTGTGTGTGTGTCTTCTCCTTTCTTTTCCTGGAAACAAACAAATGGTGCCCAGGTCTCCTTAAGTTCAGATTTCAGGGCTGTCACTCTAACCTTCCCCATCTGCTCACTATTGTCTGAAACCGTTGCAAAAGAATTTCACCTCTTAACCTGAAAACACTCATCTTTTTTCAAAGTACAAATCAGCAGTGGGGACAGTGGGGACTCATGTCTTGCCATCTCCCCACTGCAGGCAGGGGAGACTTCAAGGGGCCCGGGAAGCAGCTCAGACCCCCAATCCCTGGGCCAAGATGTCTGCTGTTTCCATCAGAGACGTAGACCCTCCTGACCAGATGAGCTAACTCACCCATTGAGCTGCCAGCAAAACAGAGGCCCTGGGAAGTTCTGTGGCTGAGTCGGGGTCGTGCGGGGGGTGAGTGGTGTATTATGGAAATTCAGGTCACTGGAGAACTTTGGAAATGATTGCCTTGTGATATTTTAGCCCAGAACCAGACATCCAGCCCTGGCCCCAGTAAATCTTCATCAACAGCAGAGCATTCTTGTCAATTAGGATGATGCACTGAGGCATTTTCAGAACCGCAAGTAAATTATCACTATTTTTTTTGAGGAAGATTAGCTCTGAGCTAACATCTGCCAGCAATCCTTCTCTTTTTGCTGAGGAAGACTGGCCCTGAGCTAACATCCGTGCCCATCTTCCTCTACTGTATATGTGAGACGCCTGCTATAGCATGGCTTGACAAGCGGTGCATAGGTCCGCACCTGGGATCTCAACCAGTGAACACTGGGCCGCCGAGAAGCGGAACGTGCATTTAACCACGGCACCGCCAGGCCGGCCCCAGATTATCACTGTATTTAAAGGTACCTCTTGGGCTGATGGCCTGAAATAAGACATACTATAGACAGAACACCTTTAAGGCAAGGGGCATGTTGTGTCATATCATCACAACGTGTGGGTGGAGGTGTTGCTGTCCCCGTTTACAGATGAGAAGAAAGTGGCTCCGAGAAGGTGAGCCAGCTGTCTGGCCCACTGGTGGGGGAGCAGGAGCTGGGATCCAAGCCATCCCCTTCCCTGACTTGGCCTGGTTGGTGCAGGCGGGAAGATGCCCAGCTTGTGTTGTATCCACACCCACCACCAGGGTCCGAGGCGCTCCTAACTCAGTCAGTGACCTATTGTGTAAACTTGTTTTTGAAGTGTAACATATATGCAGAAAGTGTGCCAACCTCAGTGATTAAGCTTGATGGCTTTTACCAACTGAATGCACTGGTATAGCAGGACTCAGATAAAGGAGCAGAACAACACGCCCCGCCCAGGAGTCCCCCCTGCCCCCCCAACCACTGCTCCCCCAATGTCCCCACTGCCCTGACTTTGTCATCCTGCTTTTGAACTCTATACAGATGAAGTCACACAAAATGTACTTTTCTTTCACTCAAAATTATGTTCGAATGGTTCATCCATCTTTGTGCTGTGATTGTGGTTCCCTCATGCAGGTGGCTGAGCCACTATGTGAAGATGCACAATTACGTGTACAGTCCACTGTTGAGGGACAGTAGAATTGTTTCCAGTTTGGTGCAGTTACAAATGACGCTTCTGTGAGCGCTCGTGTACATGCGTGCACCAGGAGTAAAACTGCAGGCCACGGGTTCAGCTTTAGGAGTCGCTCTCAGTTCTCCAGAGTGCCTGTGCCATTTTCCCCGCCCACCCGCAGCATTAGAGAGTTCCCGTTGCTCCACATCCTCACTAGCGCTTGCTGTTGTCTGTTTTCATTTTAGCCGTTCTGGGTGGCATGTGGCACAGTCACACAGTGGTGGTGATCTGCACTTCTCTGATGATTCATGAAGTTGAGCACATTTTTGTATATTTTTTGGCCATTTGGATATTCGCTTTTGCAAACAATGATTCCTTTTTAATTGTATCTTTAGTCGGAAAATATTTCTGAGAATGGCTCCCATGCTGAAAGATTCTGTTTCTCTTCCCACCTGGGGGATCGTTTCTAAGCCTCGATGTTTGGCAGTTCTCAGAAGGGTTCCACAGCCAACGCGAGTGAGAAACAGGAGTCGGAGGGTGGCACAGCCACTGCCCGGCGTCCTCGGGGCTCTGGAAGCTCTTCAGCTGCGACCCCGGCTTTCTCTGCTCACTCAGGCTTGCTGCGCAGGCGTCAGTGTGAGGTTCCCTCAGAAATGAGGAAGGATGAGTTATATTCCACATTTAGAGCTGAAGCCATGTTCCAAATTCCATCCCCCCTTTCTCGCTTCCTTTGGAGTCTGGGCTCTGGACTGACTTCAGTGACTGCAGAGTAATGAGGGTGAACAGGGCTCTGCCCTTCCCGTCAGCCCTAACCAGGCGGGGACACACAGGGGACTGAGGTGCTGACAAGCCTCCACACCGTGGGCATTGAGGACGTGGTCTGTGCACAGAGCTTTAAAGGGATTGAGAAAGCTCTTAAGCTCTGGCATTGTGATCAGACATGAACAGCTCAAACTCTCCTGATGCGAAATGCAGGCCTCTCTCGCCTCACTCGGAGAAGGAGCTGCCGGCCCCCGGCCCCCAGCTGGAGCTGACCTTGTTACTGGCCCTCCCCAAGCATGTCCTCACAAAGGGCCACCAGACAAATGTCTGGATGGGAGGAGAACGCTAGAACGGTGCATATGGAGCACCTAGTCTGTGCTGGTCACATGCTAAACGCTTTCCCCCTCCTAACTCATTTAACCCCCACCACAAGCCACTGGTCAGTTAGAACCTGCCCTGTTCTCAGGGGGCTTACAGGAGAGCGGGAAGCTAAGGCAGAAACGCCGCCAGGTAAGAGCAGTTCCTTTCAATCACTTAAGACAGCTATGGAAGGGGCTGGCCCCACTGCCTAGTGGTTAAGTTCTGCGTGCTCCACTTTGGTGGCCCAGGTTTGCAGGTTTGGACCCTGGGCATGGACCTACACTGCCTATCAGCCATGCCGTGGTGGCGACCCACATACAAAATAGAGGAAGATTGGCACAGATGTTAGCTCAGGGTGAATCTTCCTCAGCAAAAACAAAACAAAACAAAAAACAGCTATGGAAGACATGCCTGAAGCAGCAAGTTGATCATTTACTTAGCAGACCATTTCTGGGCCATCCCTCTGTGATAGGCCCAGGCTGGGGGCTGGGGGGCCTAAGACAGATGAGTCAGGGCCATGTCCTTTAAGAAGTGCACAGTCCAGGGGCCGGCCCGGTGGCACAGCATTTAAGTTTGCCCGTTCCGCTTTGCTGGCCTGGGGTTCGCCGGTTCGGATCCCAGCTGCAGACGTATGTACTGCTTGTCAAGCCATGCTGTGGCAGGCGTCCCACATATAAAGTAGAGGAAGATGGGCACAGATGTTAGCTCAGAGCCAGTCTTCCTCAGCAAAAAGAGGAGGATTGGCAGCAGATGTTAGCTCAGGGCCAATCTTCCTCAAAAAAAAAAAAAAAAAAAAAGAAGTGCACAGTCCCCTTGTAAGCATTCATTGTTAAATGAATGAAGTTGAAAATCCTCTCCACGTTTGTCTGAGTGGAGGAAGGGAGCACGTCTGGTCAGGGTGGCACTCAGTGAGTGCGCCCAGGTGCATGGTGCCCCAGGTGCAGCCAATATGCCATGAGTGGGGACCAGCATTTCCTGAGCTCCCACTGCATACGGTGCCCTGGCTGAGGCCCTGGCACCTGCCATATCCTTTCATCCTCTCTGTGAGCCTGGGAACTAATGCTCCGCTTTACAGATGAGGAAACGAGGGCACAGAGGTCCCTTCCCAGAGGCACAAACGTGCAATTGGCAGAGCTGGAGCTCACAATCAGGGATTCCAAATTCCTGGAGAGCCTAGGAGGGGCTGTGCAGAGGAGGCAGGGTGACAGGCCCCGAGGACCATGAGAATGGGAATGTGAGGGCCAGCCCTGGCAGCCGAGTGGTTTAGTTCAGCACACTCCACTTCGGTGGTCCAGGTTCGGTTCCTGGACGTGGACTTACACCATTCATCTGTGGCCAACCTGTGGCAGTGACTCACATACAAAAATAATAGGAAGATTGGCAGCAGATGTTAGCTCAGGGCGAATCTTCTTCAGCAAAAAAAATTTTAAAAATAAAAAGAGAATGGGAATGTGGCTGGGGAGGTCTGCACTGGAATGGGTGGGTGTGAGAGTCCAGAGGGCATCTTGGTTGTAGAGCAGCCACTGAGGTGGGTGCAGACCTCCCGGTGGGAGAGGCAGGCGGGGGGAGCTGGGAAGGGGTGGGAGCCAGAGTGAGAGCCTGTGGCCTGTGTCACGTTCGGCACTGAGCCTGGGAGACGGGACCCTCTCCTTCACTGCTCACCTTAAAGCTACCCTCTATCAATGCACAGTGCTTCAGGGAGGCAGCGTGCAGCTCTAAATGTAGGCTTTGGAGCTGTGTGATTCTGGATAAGCCTCTACCTCTCTGAGCCTCAGTTTCCTTTCCTCCAAAGTAGGCACAGTCACATCTAAATGAGATAAACCTAGCATAGCAAAGAGGACAGAACAGATGCTCAATAATGTGGTTAAGATTTAAGACAGCTTCCAGCTGTCTGGGTTCAACTCCCAACTTTGCCACTTGCCAGCTGTGTGTGTGTCCTTGGGCAAGTGACTTACCCTCTCTGTATTTCCATTTCCTTCTCCTTAAAATGGGGATAATGATAATAGTTCCAACCCCGAGGGGTTGCTGTGGTATGAATTTGATACACACGTGCATGTGAGTGGAAACAAATAAAGAGCTTGGCACAGCACCTGGCCCCCTAATAAGCCTTAGTGACGAGCAGCTACACTTATGCTGCGTTCCTCACGTTGCCTGGTAGGTAAGCAGCAGCTGCTCATTTAACAAGCACTCTTGGTTCTCTTTCTCCCCACTGTGCGGTGGCACAGGCAGCGCTGGTGCTACAGGAACTAGAAGGAGAGCACGGAAACTTGCAGGGGGAGGTCAGCTGCCAGCAAGACGTGGAAGATGGGAGGATTGGTGGGGGGAGGGCACGGGGTTCCTAGAGGCATGATTTGGGGGCATGCAAAGCTGGGAGCGGACCCAGCTGTGGACAGGGCGCAGGACATCTGCGTGCAGGGGTGTCGCTAAGGGGAGAGATGGGGACGCCTCCAGGGGTATCAAGTGTTTGCCCAGGCATGGTGACCGTGTGACCATGTGACTGGGGTGAGTGATCCGTCTTTCAGGCCTGGAAAAGAGGGGATGCCAGGCCTCGCTGGCCAGCCGAGAGGGTCGTGTGAGGCGCACAGGAGGCTACGCAGGTGCAAGTGTTTGCAACCACTGAGGCTCCATGCAGATTAGCCCCTGTGGTCCCGCCCCACGTGAGGGGGAGCTGGGTACGCTCCTGTGCCGAGCCCTGCTTCATCCTGACGGCTCTCCTTAGGAACTGCAGCTCTAGTCCGTGACAATCCCTGGGAAGCGCTCCTGCCTAGCTTCCCATCCCCTGGAGAGCATCCCTATCACAACTCGTGTGTTCGTGTCTACCACGTAGGGTTTCATTGTATCTTAGCACATTATGTATACCTGTAAAACATCACTTGTTCAGGTCTCAAAAAAGTGTTAAGATGCAGCTTCAGGCCTCTAGCACGTTCCTGCAGGCTTGGGAAAATAGGCCTGTACAAGCCATACGAGACAACACGTGACCAGCGTCACTTCATTCCCGATCCAGCTGTCCGTCACCATTCCTCTCCTCCAGACCTCCCAGCCTGTCCTGTTTTATGCCTCTGTCTGTTCTCTCTGCCTAGAACACCCTCCCCAACCTCACATCACATTACACTCCTATGCACCCTTCAAAACCCCCATCAGGTATCCTCTCTTTGAAGCTTTCAAACAACTCTTCCATGCAGGAACTCCCCGGTTTCTGTCCCTGTGCGGTTAGGAATTAGTGCATATATTACCCTCTATTACAGTTGTCGCCTGTTTAAACTCCCTGACCACCAGCCTTCCTCCACTTCCAGGACTGCCTCTGGCTTTGGCTTAGATGTCTGTATCTCCGGGGCCAATCAGAGGGCCTGGAAGAGAAGAAGAGCTTAATGAGTATGCCTGGGACAAACCTAGTTAAACTCAATCCTATGTCCAGGGGTTCCATGGTTTATGGATATTAATCCATGGATTTTTCCAGAACTGGATATTGGGGAAAAGTGCATCTGCTGACCATCAGGAGAGGCTATAGGAGAAGTCCGAGGGTCCGGAGGGGTTTCAGACGCCTCCCCGGACCTAGCCCGTATCAGAGAGGAAGCCCCGCAGGTGCGCCTGCGGTCAGCGGCCCGTTTTGATCACGGCCTGCGGCGAGAAGGGTTTCTTACCCTGAGACCCGCTGACACCTGCATCGCACAGAGCTTTCATGGGACAGTATTTATCCTTGCAATGGCACTTCTCTCCATTTCTCTTTCTTTTCTTTCCTTCTTTTTGTTTTTTTGATTGCTGGTCGCCACGCGATGGATTGCTCCCACAATTCTTCAGTCTGATCGGTTTGCATCCCACAGTTTGAAAAACACTGCTGCAGGCTTTCCTCAGCGGGTGTAACCAGAGCAGGCTTCTGGGAGGAGGAGCGGGCCCGGAGGGCGGCGGGCGGCGGCGGCGGGCGGCGCGCGGCCTCTAACCCTGCCCTGTCGTTGCAGCCGAGCCGCTGCCGCTGATGGACCTGTGCCGGAGATGCATCCGCTCGGCGCTCGGCCGCCCGCGCCTCGGCGACATCGGCGCGCTGCCCCTGCCTCAGTCGCTCAAAAACTACCTGCAGTACCAGTGAGCGGGCCGGGCGGCGCTGGCGGCCCCGGGCGCACGCGGCGGCGGGAGGGGCCTCCGGCGCCCGGGACGCGCGGTTCCCCGCCTGGAACACGAAACGGCTGTTGCCAACAGTATTGGCTGCCTTGGGCGCAGCCCGCACGTCGGACACCACCTGGGAAGCCACGGGGAGCCTGGCGCCTGGCCCGCCGGGGCCACAGCGACACTGCGGCCGCGCCTCGATCGGAGAGCCCGCCTCCTCGCCCAGAGGAAGAATCAGACATGGGGCGGAGCCTCTCCCGGGGACGGGCCCGCTCGGGAGGAGACTGCCTCTGAATAATGCGGGGGAGCGCGCCTGCTGGCCGGGGCTCTGGGCCCACCCCTTGCCAGGGCGGCGGGCTTGTCGGGACACGTTAGGACTTTGTGCCCCTTCGGAAGACTGTTGCCCGGGGATGCCCAGCTGCAGAGCTGGCAAGTGGCCGAAGCCGGGTGAGAGCCTCCCAGCTCGACTCTGTGGACGCCGTTTACCTCCCTTCCCCGTCCCCCCCCCCCCCCCCCCCCCCCCCCCCCCCCCCCCCCCGGGTTCTCTGGATGCCCCAGGCACCTCTATTCAGGGAAGCTGAGTCTGATTAGTTCACCCAGGGACGGAGTAGATCCTTTATTGTTGTTATTTTCAGCAGCGTTGCATTTTAAAAGAGGAGTGTGGTGAGGGCAGTACTTAGTCCAAAGGTGCTATGAGGGGAACTGGGGGCATTGTGACGCCCAAGCGGGTGATGTCCTGGGGCTGGGGAGCCCTCCGGGGTGCTGACGGTCTCCGGTGACCATCCATTCAGGAGGCAGCCTGGCTGCCGCAAAGCTTTATTTGAGCGAGTTATTTTTTCACTTTAGGAGACTGTGCGAGTTTGTTTCTGTTTCACGTGTGTGTGTGGTGTGCTGTTTATTTATCAGCTTGGGGCCTTGGGGCAGCCTTGTAACTGGAAGGGCGGATGTGGCAGGTGCCTTCGCTGCCCACTCCGAGCCTGTCCTCTCACGGACGATGCTGCTGCTGCTGCTGCCGCCGCCACCGCTGGGCTTCCCTCTCCTGTTTCCATCGCTCTTTGCCCAGACACATTTTTAACTGGAAATTGTCACAGCAGTGGGATCCCGGAGTCCCAGACGGCACTGCCGTCCCCGACATTAATGTGAATTTGACTGTGAATGAGGAGCGTTTCTAATAAAGTTTGTCGTTCAGTCCTTCAGCTGTGTGTTAAATGCTCTTTGGGGAGGGGCGGGACTGGCTTCTTCCATCCACCTGCCCAGTCCGTCCCCAGACCTCTCCAGGTGCTTCTCGTCTCTTCTTCTTGTCCCCGCTTGAGCCTACACTCTAGTTACTTTACAAAGGCCTGCCCTGGAAGAGCAAATGTGCCCACGTCCTGGGTCCATGCAAGGCCAGCCGTGACGGCAGACAAACAGGTCATTTCCTAATGCCAGGGCCATCGTGTCCACGGGGTAGCTCTGCGGGGGGCACAGGGTCAGGGAAGGTAAACCCTATGGGACAACACTTTCAAAGTGGACCCAAAGGTGGGGCTGGATGTTGCTTTGGAAGGGCACGTTGTCACCAAGGAGCAGTGAAATTGCTGAGTGGCTTAGCCAGGCTCAGAGCTGGAAGCTGGTCAGGAGCCAGTTCAGGCTGTGTCTGGGTCAGGACTGCCCACATTCCCTCAGCAACACAGGCCACCAACATGTGCTGTGCCAGCCTCCCAGGGCCCAGAGCTCGGGTAGACGTGTCCCATCCCCAGGGGAGGCCTTTACAGGGCAGCCTAATAAAAAGAGAGGAAGCTCACAAAGGGGCCTGCAGGGAAGGCTTCCTGGAGGAAGAGGTGCTCTCTACACCTGCTTCTTAAGGGAAGACAACCTTTCTGAGGACAGACTGAGGAAGCAGACAGGGGCAGTGTCCCCCCTGCCCTGACCCTGGGGCTGGAGGCTGGTCTCAGCCTCAGGCAGGGTTCTGCCATTTGGCTTCCTGCAGAGGTGCGGCCTCAGGCTTTGGGGTCGAGAGGCCTAGGTTTGAGTCTTAGCTTTGTCACTTATATGCTGTGACCTTGGGTAAGTCACTTCCTCCTACACACTGTGGGGGCTGGACCAGTGGATGAGGGCCCTGCCTCGCCCAATTCCTAGGGTCCCAGTTTCAGCACCAGCAGCCAGCTTGGATGCAGGTGTTCGGCATTTGTGTGCCCCCAGCACTGACCCCCGGGGACAGGAAGGAGGGGCTGTGGCCCTGCCCTGTTGGAGCCTACATTCATAGGGAGAGACTGATGACACATAGAGGGAAGAGATGAGCTGGGTGGGGGCTAGAGAGTGGGACACGGAAGACCCCATTTCTGAGAGTGAACAAGGAAGGCCTCTGGGGAGATGCCGAGTTCTGAAAAATGGAGAGGGAGCCACACAAGTGAAAGGGAGTAGCGGGCGGGGGGGTGCTCTCTGGGTCTGGGAGCTTCCTGCTGTCCCTTCTCGAAGCTCGAGCTTCTGTGACCCAGTGAGCTGAGCTGAGTGAGCCACGGCACTGCCATTCTGCCCCAAGCTGCAGTCCACCTGCCTGGGTGGATGTGACATATCTCCAGGGCTCCTTGTGTGTTAGTGCCGGCCCCACATGCACACACACACACACACACTCACCTCCAAAAGCCTTTCCCTGCAGACTCCTGGGAGCCTCCTGACCACTCCCCGGGGCAGTGCCCATCATAACCCAGCCCATCCCATCCTTGGTGTGTTCTCGGGGGTTTGGCCTCTCTCTCCTTGACCTGTTTCTGGTGGAGGCACTTGCTGAAACAGACCCATTCATCGGTTTTTGACTGTCTACGAATGGAGCACATGGTGGGCACGGTCCCCGCAGCTCTGAGCCCTGCTAAGTCCGTGGCTCACCCATCTAACATTCCCACTTTCTGGATAAAAGCCATCTCTTTCCCTTGCTTCTCTTCTCGTCACTCATGCCAGCAGCTGGCTTCTTTGGGGGCCATCTTTCACTAAGAAACAACAATTTCGTCACCTCGCGATGTTACAGCCAAAGCGGTAGCAGGTAGCAAGTAACACAGTTACCTGGCGATCAGTTGGTGCCAGGACAGCTGCGCCCACTCCCCGGACCTCGCTCCAGCCACACACTCTCAACAGGTGGGCGTCCGCACCTTGGCAAATGGACAGGGGACCACGGTCCTCAGGTTCCTGGCAAAGACTGGAAATCTCCACTTTTAGTCCCAAACACAAGGAATTGGTCTGCTATTCCCTCTAGGTCTGGGGGCCTGGGTCCCATTGCCCTCTGCAGATATGCTTGTCATCCCACTTAGTGTGTGTGTGTTTTACTAAAATTGAGCTCAGCTCAGAAACATCAAGTAATTTAACAGAAAACCCAGATTTCTGACTTCTCTTGAAAAATAGGGAGATGCATGAAGACCAGTCCCACATTCCTTTATGGTGATGTTGGCCGAAGCTGGGTAGTGACAGCCCCTGGAGAAGAGGCCTCTGTTGTGTAATCTACCCTAGGTCCACCCCTCCCACGGCACGTCAGGACCTCTCACTGCCAACCTCCCTCATGGGCGTTAACTGTCTGGGTCAAGGCTCTGAGTTCGCCTCTGGACTATTGGTTTTTTTGTGTTTTTATGTTTTTATTTTTTTTATAATTTTTTTAATTTTTATTTTTTCGGATGTACATCATATTTCAAATTCTGTATACATTACATCATGTTCACCACCCGAACACTAATTATAGTACATCCCCTCACATGTGACCCTAATCACCTCTTTTGCCCTCCCCCCTCCCCCCTTCTCCAATGGTAACCACCAGTCCAATCTCTAATGCTATGTGTTTTTTTTTTTTTGTCGTTTTTATCTCCTCCTTGTGAGTGAGATCATATGGTGTTTGACTTTCTCCCTCTGACTTATTTCACTCAGCATAATACCCTCAAGGTCCATCCACGTTGTCACAAATGGCCGGATTTCGTCATTTCTTATGGCTGAGTAGTATGGACTCTTACTATAACGTACATCAGTGGGTAATACACACATACACACACACACCAGCAAAAGGAGGCTTCAGGCGGGAAGTCAGCTAGTTCTGGACTTGACTTTGAAGTATCTCACAGCCTCAGCCACGACGTCCACGGAGCTCACAGATACCCAGGACCTCTGCCCAGACTCCAGAGATAACGTGTGTGTCCCTGGTTAGACAGTGAACTCCTAAAGGGCAAGGATAAGAACTCCTGAAGGACAAGGACAAGAATTCTTGGGTCCTCCTTTTAATGAGCTGGACGATATGATTAGACAAGCCTGGCTGCACATTAGGATCCCGTGAGGAACTTTGTAAAAAGTCCCAGTGCCCAGGCCATTCCCCAGACCAATTAAATCAGGACCTCTGGGGGTGGGGCCGGGCCCTGGCAGTGGTTAAAGTTCTCCAGGTAATCCTAATGGGCAGCCAGGGTTGAGTCCCGCTCGATGAGGTGCTTAAGTAAGTGATCTCAATGGAGACATGGGTGACCTTAGTGAGAACGGACATCAGAGACCAGAGAAGGGCTCCCCAGCCCACCCAGAGTTCTGGCCTAAAGCAGCATCTTGCCTAAGGAAGCCAGGTTTAGAAATACTGGGACCCAAAGCATCCTTATAGCCAGGTCTCCCTATCTCAAATCCTCCTATTCAAGTTATTCCCTATCCTTCTAAGCAGCACAGAGGCCTCGGTAACACTGTCCCTGAGCCTGTGCCTGGGGATTTTTCCACCCAACAGAGATGATATGCTAATGATTTGCGGGCAGGGATGGCGTTTGGAGGAGACTTGCCTTTCAGTCATCACTTTGAGTCAGCACATGGCTCTGTACCAGGCTTTGTGTCAGGCCTAAGGGGTATCTTGCCCCTGCTGCCCCAGAGCACCCACACACCCCAGCAGGGAGATCGACCCGCAGACAGGCGAATGCAGCATCAGGTGCCTGGTGCTGGTACCATCAACAGCCTGGAGGAGAAATGGCACAGCAGAAGCAACGCACGGAGGTGAGAAAGGGCTTAGAGTGTGAGAGGGCACGGTGACGAGTCCACGGTCACGGAGGACAAGCTGTATGGGGGAAGGGTGCCATGATGAAGGATGACGGCCTTGGAAGCCACACTCAAGAATAAGGGCTTGGTATGGGTGAGAGTTCAGGAGGAAATAGCCAGCTCACTCAAAAGGGAGGCTGAGGAGAGTTTAATGAAGGGGCTATGTACAGAGGTGTGGGCAGGGCTCAGGAAACCAACAACTGAGGGTGAAGCCCGGGGGCCAGCAGCGGTGGGAAGGGAAAATGGTTAGCATCCCTAGGTTTGGAGGGCTAAGAGAAGGGAGCGGTAACTGGAAACGGAAACTGGAGCTGTCAGAAGAGCCACCCGACAGGAGCTATGGTCTTGGATGGAGGACCACAGCCAGTGCCAACCACAGCCTGGCAAGGCGGGAGCGGGGGCATAGCACCCTGACAGTCTCTAGTCCCTCCTCCCATCTCGTGTCAGGGCCTCCCATTGGCCGAAAGCCCCAGGAGCATAGCAGGCAAGGGAACCTGGCTGGTGCTGTCCACAGAGGTCCTCCAGAGCAGGGCAGAGAAGGAAGGACCGTGGGTCTACATGTTCCAAGAGGAGAGGATTCAGTAGACTTTATCCTATAGATCTGCAAAATTCTTTTTTCAAACAAAATCACAAAGATCCAAAACTTTAGTGTATAAATAGATAAAAGCTCATTTGTTCCCATTGTGTGCGTTGGGCTGCTTTCAAACCCCACCGCTATACCTCTCCCACCTGCACATCAGATGCTAACCACCTGAAGCGTCTCCAGGGAGCCTTAGGCTGCCGTCAAAATTATATTCTTCCCGAAGTATAATCCGACTGTGTAACAAGAAGCAGCAGGTCCAGGGTCTGGAACTAGACTTTTTAAAACACTGTTGCAGGAGCCACAGTGAGGCTGAAGGAGGAATGATGAGGTCCAGCCTTCCTGGAGGGTCTGTGGAGGGGTCTTAGCAAGCAGGAAGAGCAGAGGTGGAGAAATGAAGGGAAAGGCTGTTGGTGTCAGGGAGAGAAGGAAGTCCTGGATGAAGGCGTCGGAGTCGGGGCTGGGGGAGGCAGAGTTGCTGCAAATGGGCCAAGTCCTTGGGGCTAAATGATGCAGTGCCTGCGGGAGTTAGGCAAGGGAAGGTGTGCAGACACTCCCATCCATTCATTCAGCAAAAATTTCTTGAGGGCCTGCTGTGTGCCAGACATG